ATACTTGGAATAAAAGTACCCATGTCCTAGATTTCTTGGGAGGATTATAAGTAGCATATAAGAAATTTCCATCTTAGTTTCAGGAACTGAGGAGGCACTCAGGACCTGGTGGCAAAAGTTATCAATACATTATACTATAATAGATGTGCCCATTATTGGTGAAAAGGCATAAATCTAGAGGTACCTGGGACTAAAGACAGAATAAGGGTGAGCTTGGACAGATTGGCCTGGTTAATGTCTCAGTAGCTTTGATTTAAGAAAGGTCTTCTCTGAACGGATTTCACTTTGGTGGCGTGGTGTTTTCCATCCATAGATGTTGATTACTTCTATAGATGAAATCCCCTTTATAAACATGCCCAACATGTCCTAAAACTATTTTCCATTCCTGATTCTCCCTAGATTTTCTGTTGGCATGGCAGCTGAACTTGTTGGCAGATTATATTGGGCTCCAAGACAAAGGTCAACAATATCTCCATGTCTCTGGGTGTGAAGTGGAGACACAATTTTTAGAACTTCTGGGATAGTCTTCTCTCACTGTTGGCCTAGACTGTTGAGGCCTGAAAGTATGGTGTCTGTCTCAGGGGGCAATGCGTTGCTTAAAGGATGTATTTTTTCTGTAGCCTTTTTTGTCTTGTTCATTTCAGAATTTTGCCTACAAGTGTACTTCACCTACAGTGAGTAAAGATTGATGGTTGATTGAAGTCATCTGGATAACATATTGGAAAACTTCTTGACAGGAATAGTTTAAGTTAGAAAACAGAAATAAACTTTTGACTTTAAGGAAATATTTCATGTCTGTCAACATAAAGCAACTTGGCAGTATCAATCTGTATCCACAAATACTTTCATGTCCTATGACCACTTTTTTACTGGACACCACCTTTTGGAAAAATCTAAAATACATAAAACACTAAATTCACAAAAATGATTATCCTAGAGTTATTTATAACATTAATAAGTTAGAAACATAACATCATTGAAAATTTGGTTAAATCACTTTGGAGACATCCACTTGATGAGATGTTATGCTGTCATATAAAAGTGCACAGAAACAGGTCAGGCATGGTGGCTTGCATATGCAGTTCCAGCTACTTGGGAGGTTGAGGCAAGAAGATGATTTGAGGCCAGGAGCTTGAGACCAGCCTGAGCACTATAGTTCCTGCTCTTAAAAAAAAAAGCCGGGTGCGGTGGCTCACGTCTGTAATCCCAGCACTCTGGAAGGCCGAGGTGGGCAGATCACTTGAGTTCAGGAGTTCAAGACTAGCCTGGCCAACATGGTGAAACTCTGTCTCTACTAAAAATAGAAAAATCAGCTGAGCGTGCTTGCAGGTGCCTGTGATCCCAGTTACTTGGGAGATTGATGCGGGAGAATTGCTTGAACCCAGGAGGCGGAGATTGCTGTGAGCCAAGATTATGCCACTGCACTCCAGCCTGGGCGACAGAGCTAGACTCCATCTCAAAATAATAATAATAATAATAATAATAATAATAATAATAATAAAAATTTCAGAAACTCCAAGGCTAAGTACTTTGGTATTATATATTACTAGCAAAAAATATGGTTTGAAAATTGAGGTGAAATATTATCACTGTCTAACAATCTAACACAGATGCATAGAAAGATATTAGCAGAAAACACACTAATATTTTAAAAAGTGGAAAAATTCTGTTCATCTTCTAATTTTTCTTTTTCCTTTTTCTTTCTTTTCTTTTCTTTTCTTTTTTGAGACAAGAGTCTCAGTCTGTTGCCTAGGCTGGAGTACAGTGGTATGATCTTGGCTTATGACAACCTCTGCCTCCTGGGCTTAAGTGATTCTCTTGCCTCAGCATCCTGAGTAGCTGGGACTACAGAGTGTGCCACCACGCCTGGCTAATTTTTGTATTTTTAGTAGAGACAGGGTTTCACTATGTTGGCCATACTGGTCTTGAGCTCCTAACCTCAGGAGGATCCACCCACCTCGGCCTCCCAAAGTGCCTGGATTAGAGGCGTGAGCCACTGTGCCCAGCCTAAGAGTCCAGAAATGCCTAATTTTTCTTTAGTGACTTTTAGTTGCCTCTTTTTTTTACTGGTATAAAAAAGTTCCGGAAACACTGAGAAAATAAAAAGAAATAAAACCCTAGAAGTTACTAGGAAGGAAAAGAAAAAAAAAGGAATGGCATGGAAGATAAGCAAGTCAGATAGTGAAATGCCTGAAGTGCACATGGTGAGGGAGGGAAGAAACTATGATACTGGGTGAAGCACAGAGTGAATCCTGTGAAATGACGATGTGAAAAGCAGCCTCCTTTAGTGATGTCCTGTTCTTACTCTATCACGTTTTAGTGCTTCATGGGCCATAAGGAGGCTTGGAGGCAGGGAAGTTACCAGCATTGTTGAATACCACGTTTTGCCTATCCGAAGGCCTCGTCCCTTACATGTCCGTATAGACATGCTTCTCTGTCTTTTGAGGTTGGGTGGATTAAGTAGGGCAGATGGTGTGTCAACGGTGACAAGAAGGCCGTGGTAGCACACAGTCCCCCAGATTTAACAATTTCTGAGAATAAAGCACAGTTCCTGGACAATGAAAGATTCCTTTGAAGCAAAATTTCTGGTAATGAGATGGACGTTCCAGATCAGAATTCATAGCTCATTTCAACATCTGCAGACCCACGGATCTATGCCAGGCTCTCGCTGGGAATGGAAAGAACTCACTGACAGTTCCTTATTTTGGAGAACACGGGTGGCAGCAGGGGCACCCTGAGTGCCTTGCGGAGCAGTGTCGTTCACTCTACACAGACACAAAGCCTCTGAGTTTCAGTTCCCACTTGCCTTGTAGGTAACCAGAACTTGCATCCTCACCTGTTAGAGAGTCAGCAGCAATGGTGAACTCCCCAAGTGAGGAGAAAATGGATAGCTCAAATCCAGAAGCCTGTTCTTTGGTGGAAAATGATGTCTTTGATGAGTGAGGCTGCACATCTAATTTTACTTGAAACTGCCTAAAAAATGTATTATTATTATTATTATTATTATTATTTGCTATTAAACAAACCATAGAAAACCCGAGAGAGTCCTTTCAAACTTCAGAAATAGGACGTAAAGAGGAGGAGGACTGTGAGAAGAGTTTGAATATGGACAAAGCAGGGGGCAATTTTCATATTTTACTTAGGGCTATAATCTTCTCCAGTGGATTTCTTTAGAGTGGATATTTCTCTTTTGTTGTTTCCCACACTGCTTCAGATATTTTCAGAAAGATTTTTTGGTTTTGGTTTTTTAGCTATACTGAGCTGGTCCTTAACGTGGGAGCTGCCATCCCAGAATCTTTTTTCAATATATTTTGGATGAACTGCTGCTTGAGTTTCCCTGAGTGAGTGATTAAAGTGACTGCTCCCATTTGTTTTCTGCAAACACAACAAACTATAATTCGTTCTAAGGAGAGCTCAAAGGCAGGGAAGCCATTTGTCTGCTGACAACTTTTTCTCAGAACAACCTGTGATGCCTCTTCTAGCTGGGGCTGGACATCCATCCTGGCTCCCAACTGGTGTCCTTGAGGTGGGGCCTATGGGGCTGGACTTAAAGCATAGTTCTGTTGATTAGAAGCTGCCATCTGTCTCGCTGGGCCTCTGGAGTCTGCCTGTAGTAGTGCTGTGTCACGGGAATAGTCCCAGACTGAGACACAGAACCTGGAATTTAGCCAGTGACAAGCCTTGCTAGCTTTTGAAGGTCCTTGTGTGGGCCTCGATGTCTTCCTCAGTTTAATGAGTGCACTGGATGCTATAATCTCTAGGTTTCACTTTGACACTAAGAATTCGTGATTTTGTCTTCTGATTCCTGGTCCAAGGGTTCCTTCTGTCCCGGAGATGGAGACACCATGGCCACTCTCATGGATCTTTTCTTCTTGGAAGCAGGGATGAATATAGAGAATAACAAAGAAAAAGTGAGATGACAGTGATCAGTGCTATGAAGCACATGGCTTGGGTAGGGCTGGTTCCTTGTAATGAGTGGTCAAGAATCAAGAAGCTGAATCTGCAGTCCCATCTGTTCAATGTGCAGCAGAAAGAAGTGAAGCCAGGGATGGAGTGGAGAGCGAGGAGGAATGAGCGGCCACATCAGAGGGACTTGAGCAGAGTGAGGCACCCAGAGCTCCTGGTTCCTGTCACGGCATCCACCTAGCCCTCTAACCAGGGGAGCTTCCTACTCTGCCCCCGATATGAATGAATGAAGGAAGTCACCGGCAGCATTGATTCTCTGTCAGTATTTCTCCCGCTCCTCCCTCATCACCAAGGCTCAGCTCAGATGCAATTTCTTTCTCTCTTTTTTTGCACAATGGCTTTACTGAAATATAATTCACCAACTATAAAAGTCATTTTTTTCAAAGGACAACTTTATGGCTGGTGAACCACAATTCAGTGGTTTTTAGTACAGTCACAGAGTGATAGACAAAATTTCTCCTTTTTGTAGGTGGAAAAAGGAACAAATTATAAATTGTGTGAATTCGGATGTCTGGACTTTTCATTCTTTTATCTTAAAATATGTCTATTTACCATGTTTGCTTTTTTTTTTCCTTCCTGCCTCTGTTACTGCTATTGCTGTGTTCTGTTTTTCCTTCTTATAATTTGCAAGCCATACATGTAACTTTGGTTCACTAATTGATTGCTCTTAAGTTTTCGTCAAGAAGTTACATTCTGCCGGGTGCGGTGGCTCAAGCCTGTAATCCCAGCACTTTGGGAGGCCGAGGCGGGCAGATCACGAGGTCAGCAGGTCGAGACCATCCTGGCTAATCCAGTGAAACCCCGTCTCTACTAAAAAATGCAAAAAACTAGCCGGGTGAGGTGGGGGGCGCCTGTAGTCCCAGCTACTCGGGAGGCTGAGGCAGGAGAATGGCGTAAAACCGGGAGGTGGAGCTTGCAGTGAGCTGAGATCTGGCCACTGCACTCCAGCCTGGGCGACAGAGTGAGACTCCGTCTCAAAAAAAAAAAAAAAGAAGTTACATTCATTTTTTTTTTGTCTCTCTACACTTAAACAGTAACTTTAACCTCTTCCCCACCAAAAAATATTAAGATATTCACATACAATTTCTCTCTTTTATTTCCCTCACTTCCATCTTGTGGAAACCAATGGGTGTTTTAATTTGGTATGATCATGAGCATTGTAGGTTTAAAATGTATTTCACTGCATTTTGGCTGTAGGAAGTGAGACCAAAGACAGAGAACGGGGAGGAGGGATCACATTCTATAAAGTCTTCCACACCATTTCCAAATCTTGATTTGACTCTGAGAAAGGTGAGAAGCCATTGGAGGATTGAGATAAGAAGAATGACATCTTCTAACTTACATTCTGAAAGATTACTTAGGTTGCTGAGTTGGGAATAGGGGAGATAGGAGTAAAAAATGATTTGCTGTAATAATCCCTTTAAGAGTTAATGTGGCTGAATCCCAGTTGTTGCAATGTAGGCAATGAAGAGGTGACCAACTGTATGTTTATTTTATGTAATTTTTCATAATTTTTAAATTTAGAAATAATTTTACACACAACATTTACAGTGTTGTAAGAATGATATAAAGAGCTCCAATATAACCTTCACCCAGATTCCCCAATTGTAATCTTTTCCACATTGACTTTTCCCTTTTTGTATATACATGTTGTAATTTTTTTGAATCTATTTGAGAATAAATTGAAAGCATGCTGCGTTTATCCATATGGTATGCAGTGATATTGTATAAGAACAGGATATTCTCTTATACAACCACATACAATGGTCAAGATCAGGAAAATAACAGATGATGTTGGAACTTCTATTAATAGTTTCGTTCTAGGTGTTTTTTAGCTTTTCTTTTAAATCTTCCATCTCTTGACCTTTTTTGGTTCTATCTGTAGGAGTCTTCTCAACCTTCTTACAATCTCATTGATTGTGTGGTTTGGTGCATTTTAATTAAAATAACAACTCTGAGTCTTACTTCACACCATTCTGTCCTCTCTGAGCACATTTAAAGTTACTTTTTTCCACTTTGCCTTCTTAGCAAACCAACCCATCTGTTAGTTCTTTTGTCTGGGAAATTTGGTATCCATCTAATGTGGCATTAGCTCTCCTAAAATGTCCAATGACTCATCCTTGCTTTTTTATTGTTGAATGTGGACGAAGGTACCTGAAGCATGTACTTTTCTCTTCCAAGCCCAGACTCTTCAATTTTTGTTTAATTTGGGGACAAGCTCTCCTAGGTGGGTGTCATCTTGCTCCAATCCTTATAATATTTTAACTTGAATAACCCTTCTCCAACCTTCCGTTCTGTTGCCAAAACAAACTTTCAAAACTGAAATATTAAGATGTCATTCAGTATTCTACAATTCCCTACATCCCTCATAATTTTCAGAATAAAATGGAAAATCCTTAGAGTGGCAACATGCCGTATATATGGAAACCCTCTTCTACAGATTCTCACTCATGTTCTCCTCATGTGTCAGATGTTCCAGGCACATCAAACTATTGGTAATTCCCAGAATGTGCATCCAAGCCTTTGCCCAGAATCTTCTCTTTCCCTGGAGTGCTTTATTTCCTCCTGTCTACATCTAGAATTTCAATGCATCCTTTAAGATCCAGTAACTGCTACATATCTGTACCCAAGCATCTTTTACTTTATTTTGATGCCTTCATCCTCCAGTACCTCTTAAATAACTATTGCTCTTTCTGAATTCTTGCAGCATTTTTCATGTATCTGTAGGTGTTTCTGTAAATAATTGATGTGTCACTTTCTCTCCTACCAAACAGAAGGAGATTTAAATGCGGGGATGTGTTTTATTCATTTCAGAATATTTGCTACCTACGGTACAATAGACACTTAGAGTGATATCATTTGTTTAATAAATGAAGTGAGAAATCCCAAAGTAGGTTATACTTGTTTGCCTGTTTTAAAATGGTACAGGGAGGGGTTCCGGTGACTAAGGTCTACACACTAATGAGCATTTGGATTATTTAATGTCATTTTGCAGGGTTCTACAAATTGTGTAGGACTCTCATTTTGTAGGCTGGTCTCTGATGTTGGCTCTACCATAGGTTTCTTATGAAATAGCCACTAAAACCACTTCCGTATCTCACTTCTGACATTGACGTAGTCCTCAGGTCATGGACAATGACTGCTGAGACCCAAGCAAGGTTGTCGGCAAGGCTTTGGGAAGGGGGTTGGTAAGATACAAGGGAATAGCCACCAGCCAGGCCTCAGGCAGACCTGAGGAGCTCTCTTGTGTGTGGGATGAGATCAGACCAGAATCATAAGAGAATCATGCAGGCACGATGGGAGAATCCTGGTGCACCAGAATAGGGGAGAGGCTTGTTTAGAGCTACAAATACCAGCAAGACCTGGCCCGGTATGTCGGGTCAGCTAATATATCAGTTTCCACAGCTCCCATAGACAATGGGATGCCAGGGAAAGTTTTTAAAAAGAGAAATGAAATCATTGATGATGCAATTTGGACTTCAGTCTAGTTGTTTCGCTGTACATTTGGGGCATAGAGAAAAAAGAAACAAGCTGGGTGTATGAAAGAAAACATTCCAAGAACGATAGGTAAGTCTGAGTCACAGGACGAGGCTGAAGGAAGGGGGTTAGAGAGGAGGTGTCCCTTGAAATAGAAGCTGAGGCCAGTTTGCAAAGGGCTTACATGTCATCATAGGAACTCAGAATTTATTCTTTTCTCTAACAGGAAACAGAGGATTTTAAGCAGAGACATGATAGAGGGCAGGGGAAAATCAGAGTTTGAGGCCAGACTTCATGATGACCTTCCAAGATCAATTGCAAAGGTAAAGAGGGGATCCCCATGTGGGACAAGGAGGTTCACAGTCAGCCAGAGAGGCAGTCCTGCCCCTTGAGAGAGCTGGCTCTGGGTTTGCAGTTTATTTCTGGGATCCTGATGTCAGTTGTTGGTCTAGATCCAAATGTGGCCATATCCAAAAAATATTTAATCCAGTCAGGGCACTTGTTCACCATTATTTCACCCATTCAGTTAACAACTCATGACCGCTATTAAAAAACTATATGCTAGTTTTGAAAGAAAGTCAAAGTTAAAAGCAAGTGCACAAATGAATAAAATAATTAAAATAGAGAAATTAATAAGACAACAAAGGAAGGACTGAGAGGCACCTGTAAAGCATTTTGAAAAAGCAGCTGAGAATGTCCTGGGGGCCTGAAGGGCTTGAAAGTCCCTGTTTACACCTCAAAGATGTGCAAGACTGTGTGAGTGGGGGTAATATTTTGGGAAGGGAAAGCACAGTGAAGATATATAGGTGAAATATCTAAGTAGCATCAACAAATAACTGTTGTTAATGTTATTTGAAAAAAAAATTCCCTGGTTTCATGTATTTGGAATGGATTGTCTCCGTGGAAGCAGAAACTACCTCTGTCTTACCTTCTTTCAGGTTTTCCTGGATCAGCTGCACTCCTTAGCAAAACTATATTGGACAATCAACTGAGAAGAGTAACTGAGACATTTGAATCATTTCTAGGTGTAAAGAAAGACCGAAGCCCAGGAAAATATTACGGTCAGTTCAATGCCTTAAGTATAACACCAGCGTCACTGGCTGGGACCCTCAGAGCCTACTCTCCTATTTTCCCTTCATCTTCTTCTCGTCTTTATTTTTCTTATTCCTTTTCTTTGTTTTCCCCACTTCTTTCTCTTTTCTCTGTTCCTCCCTCACTTTCTTGATCTCTCACCCTCTTTCTTTCATGAATTCATTGCATCATGACAGAAGTACTTGACACATACCACGTCCCAAATTCTGAGCTAGGGTACATGCTATATTTTTCTTCAAAATTAAGTGTGAGGTGGATCTTTAAATAATAACAACAAGTGTGTCTCAAACAGTCTATCCTGGACACTTTGTAAGCTTCCATTGTTTTCTCTTCAAAGTGCCTGTGTCCCAAAGCTCAGGACAAATTTCAAAACCTGAACCTGAATATCAAGAAATCTAAACATGTATCATCTAAAGCTGGCACCCAGGAAAACAGAGCTTTTCATTTGATCAGAGACTGAATATTTCTTACCTACAAGTGCTTGTTTTAACCACACTTGGCAAGTTCTGTATATAACACACATCAAAGCCATCAGTTGCACTTGTTGTGACTGTGGGTGTTGGCTTGCTTGTTCCAGGGTCCCAGGGCCTGGCCATGGCCATGGTGTTTGTCTCTCAGGCTTGTCTGTCTCGTGCCTGGCAGGCTCACTGCTTCACAGCTCACTGTGTCTCTCAGACCTTCTCCCACAGTCTCGGGGACTGTTCTAAATAACAAGCTAATATTCTGAAGTGAGGCATTGGAAGCATTTCTGAGCAGCATTTATTCTTTTTGTATGCGTTCAATTTTTTAGCAATGAAGACATTTCCTTTCAAGGTTATTAAGCTTTGAACTTTCCATTTTGTGAAAAGGCTCAAAATTGCCTTCATTCTTTGTGGGCATCCAACTCTAACAGACACATAAATTAATAGACCAGGGAATATTTAACAGTCTAAGTTCAAACAAATATATTTACTTTGATTGAATTGATGTTGCTATTAATTGCCATTGAAGGAAACCACTGTAAAGGGAAATATGCCCTGGAGGATAAACGTGACACTGCTAAAATTAAAACTCAAATGAGAATAATCTGCAGATTTTAATGTTTCAAATTCGATTTGGAGAATACAGTTCTTTAATGTAATACTGAGAAAATCATGTTATTGATCCTGCATACCCATCTCTTCTCAGGGATTAGAGAACAGGCTGTTATGAATATGTAGCAATCCCCCATGCACCTGCATAGGTGGGGAGGTGATTGTCCAGCTCTGCTGGTTAGGAACTGGCTATAGTCATGGCTGCAAGCAAGTTATGCACATGGAGAACAAGGTGTCTCTCTGAAAGAAATGTAAAGAGAAAATTTTAGGTCAACTAATTACAAATTCCCATCAATCCCTAGAATAGTATCCCATATGCAAAGGAATACTCTGTTGCCCAGGCTGGAGTGCAATGACCAGATCTCGGCTCACTGCAAGCTCTGCCTCCCGGGTTCATGCCATTCTCATGCCTCAGCCTCCCAAGTAACTGGGACTACAGGCGCCCGCCACCACATCGGCTAATTTTTTTTTTTTTTTTTTTTTTTGTATTTTTAGTAGAGACGGGGTTTCACCAAATTAGCCAGGATGGTCTCGATCTCCTGACCTCGGGATCCACCCGCCTCAGCCTCCCAAAGTGCAGAGATTACAGGCGCAGAGGAATACTTCTTACACAAATATATAATCTTTTTGTCCCACTAGGAAAATATTGTGCCCCAATCCCTTTCTGGCCTTTCTTACTATCTGTGAATCTTGAAAGAGTTTATTGCTTCATGGTCTTCCTCCATTTGGCCCCATCCTAGTTCTTGCTCGGCTTTTAGATGCTGGGGAGCCATCTTGGGAGTGGGGTGCTCATTACATGAGATGAAGTGGTCTTCGAGGGGACAATAAGGGAGTAAGTGCCTTGTAGAAAGAAGCAAAGTAAAGAGGAAGAGAGATTTATTGTTTGTTTGCTTTTTATTATTTATTTATTTATTTATTTATTTTTATTTTTTATTTTTATTATACTTTAAGTTCTAGGGTACATGTGCACAACGTGCAGGAAGAACTTTCTAACTTCTTTTCTTTCTCTCTCTCTGTCTCGCTCTCTCTCTTTTTTTTTTAAGATGGAGTCTCACTCTGTCACCCAGGTCGGAGGGCAGTGGTGTGATCTCGGCTTACTGCAACCTCTTTCTCTTTTTGTTATTAGGTTGTTGCAAAAGCATTCAAAGCAATGGCAAAAACCTCAATTACTTTTGCAACAACCTATTACCTAGGCTAGAGTCAGAGCCCCGCACCTTGAGAGTGATGAGTTGCGAGAGTCTGCCCCCAGCAGGCAGATTGAGAGAGCGCATGGTTTAGCGGAATGATTATTTTAGCTATACTCCATGGGACAGAATGGAGATGTTGCAATCTGATGCAGATCATCTGAAAGTCTTGTGCAATATCCTGATTAAGTGTGGACAGAGCACAATAAAAAAGGAATTTGGAAGTTGGAAACATGCTGGGTTCAGGCAGACATAAAAGGCAGCATTTGGAAAACCTATCAGGACTCAATTTCGGACAAGTGATCATAGGTAAGTGGGATCATGGAACTTGACCTCAAGGTTACAATATAGGAACAAATAAATAGGTTATGAAGATAGTGAGCAGGTAAACAGCACCACCAAGGAATCTCAGTAATAGATTTGTAACAAAGGAGCAGAGCAGAACTCTTTATGAGAGCTAGATGGTCATAAGGAGAGGGTTGGCACAGCAGTGGTTCACGCAGAATCTCCTGAGATGCAGATAAACCTTTTCTGATCGGGAGAAGGTTAATCCAAAATTGAGGTAGAGATGTAGTCACAGGAAAGTAGCAAGAGTATATGGGGGAGCTGCAACATGAAGAGGCATTTCCTAGAAGGGAAAATCAGGCTTTAAAGTCAGGCAGATGAGTTTGCCTGGGAAAAAATCAAGAGAGCTGAGTCTGAGGCAGGGAGCTGGTGAGGAGTGAGCCCAAGTGTGTCAGGTAAGGCAGGTAAGGTAAGGCAGAGAACCAAAACCAGATATCAGGTGGCAAGTCAAGAACAAGTAACGTAGAGTACGTGGATGGATCTGGGCAGGGCTGGGAAGACATACACTTGGCTCTATGTGCTTGGCTAGCTGAATGTTTTGCAGCTATATCTACAGGTGCTTTTATTATCATGCACCTGGCAAGGAATTTTATTATAAATAGCTTGGGTCCTAGGTTTTGGGACGGGAATAACTGTGAATGGGAATAACTGTGGGAATAACTGTGATGTTACCATAACACATGGTGACTTGTCCCAGCAAATGGAGCAGGGACATGGATGAGGAAGGCCACAGAAAAGTATTGTGGCCAGGCACGGTGGCTCACGCTTGTAATCCCAGCACTTTGGGAGGCCGAGGAAGGTGGATGACCTGTCAGGAGTTCAAGACGAGCCTGGCCAAAATGGTGAAACTCTGTCTCTACTAAAAATACAAAAAATTAGCCAGGCATGGTGGCAGGCACCTATAATCCCAGCTACTCGGGAGGATGAGGCAGGAGAATCACTTGAACCTGGGAGGTGGAGGTTGCAGTGAGATGAGATCCCACCACTGCACTCCGGTCTGGTGACAGAGTGAGACTCCGTCTCAAAAAAAAAAAAAAAAAAAAAAAAGAAGAAGAAAAGAAAAGAAAAAAAGAAAAAAAAGGAAAAGAAAAGTATTGCTAGGATTAGCATCCCTGATAGTTACCATTCCAGTTATTGCCAACTTGATAGACCCCTCAGAAAAACAGAAGTTTGCAGGAATTTTGCAGCCACAAGATGATGTTTAAAATATTCCTAGAAGATGTTTTCCACTTCACATGTTGGATATTTATCTCATACATTAATCAATATTGGTCAAGTATGGTGGCTCATGCCTGTAATCCCAACATTTTGGGAGGTCAAGGCAAGTGGATTTCTTGAGCCTACGAGTTTGAGACCAGCCTGGGCAACATGGTGAAACCTTGTCTCTACAAAAAATACAAAAATTAGGCCGGGCGTGGTGGTCCACATCTATATTCCTAGCTACTGGGAAGGCTGAGGTGGGAGGATCACTTGCGAACAGGAGATCGAGGCTGCAGTGAACCATGATAATGCCACTGCACTCCAGCCTGGGCAACAGAATGAGACTGTCCCAACTAATTAATTACTCAATTAATCAATATTAATTATGTTGTATATTGTTTTAATTTGGCATAAATTATCTAGTTTGTCTCATAATGGCTATATGAGGTAGGTAGGGCTTATCCACATTTTAGGTGAGAGAAATAAGCCTCAGAGAGGTTAAGTAGTTTGTTCACAGTAACACTGCAAACAGTAGCAGAAGTAAGAATTGAAGTAATGCACTGTTCTGTTAGTTACATGTTATGAATATTTAATTATTCTACTTCATATTTAGAGACTATATTCTATGTATTGGCTATTGCTATGGATCTAAGAGTGGAAAATAATAAAAACATGCACAGTCCTTGTCCTTGTGGAGCTTAGGAGCTTATAATCTGGGGGGAAGAGGGAAGATACCAGCAACCAGCACCCATTTACCCAAGTGATTATTTAATCACCCTTGTAGAGGTGATTCTTTTCAGAAGAGGAGAAAAGAGAAAGTCAGGTAGATCTCATGTAGTGTAGGAGTTCTCTGACTTATCTTCTGAAAGAGAAGGCCAAGTAGATCTTATCTAGTATGGGAGTCAGAGAAAACTTTCCTAAAGAACTGATAATAGAGTTAAGACCTGAAGGATTAGTAAATGGGTGGGGAGGGGAGAGAAGAAGTGTTGGTGCTAAGGCAAGAAAGAGCTTGAGGCATTCAGTGAAGGTAAGGTGTTATGGAGTGTGGGTGCTGTAAGCCGGGATTAGATGATGCACTTTAAAATGTACAAATAACAGTACTATAACATATTTACATCAGAATATAAATTTATAAAAGGGAACTAATCTTTATATGTTGGGGAGAAA